TACGTCTAATAAAAACATAATTGAATGGAAACCAAGTCACGAAGTCATAAGACAGAAAATAATATTTGCACTAACCAATGAACCGGTTTTAATGATTTTTGATCCAAACTATCCTGTTGAGTTGCATACCGACGCGAGCTCGATTGGTTATGGTGCCATATTAATGCAGAAAAAGAACGAAAAGCTTTATGTCGTTGCCTACTACAGTAAACGTACAAGTGCTGCTGAGGCAAGGTACCATTCATACGAGTTGGAGACCCTAGCTGTTGTAAACTCAGTCAAGCACTTCAGACAATATTTACATGGACGAAAATTTGTTGTAGTCACCGACTGTAATTCCTTGCAATCTTCCCGTAAAAAATTAGACCTTACTCCAAGAATACATCGGTGGTGGGCTTTCTTACAATCTTTTGATTTTGACATTATTCACCGAAACGGCAAACGAATGTGCCATGCTGATTTCTTTTCGAGAAATATTTTACCAATTACAGAAATTCAAAATTTCGAAAAAGTAGAGCAAAAATTTGTAAATATAACCGACTTATCAAATAACTGGCTTCTTGCGGAACAACAGCGCGACAATGAGATTTTAAAACTAATAGAAGAAATAAGTGGAGATAAATTAAATTTAAACTTAGCTAAAACCTATGAGCTACGATCTGGAATTTTACATCGTAAAATTCAAAGAAATGGAAAAACTCGTTGTTTACCTTTGATTCCCCGAGCATTTAGATGGTCAGTTATTAATAATGTTCACGAATCTATAATGCATCTTGGGTGGGAGAAAACACTCGAAAAAGTTTATGAACTCTATTGGTTCGAGAACATGTCAAAGTATGTTCGAAAGTTTGTCGAAAATTGTGTCACTTGTGCGGTGTCAAAATCCCGTTCAGGTAAAATTCAATCTGAATTACACCCTATACCCAAAGTTCCGATTCCATGGCACACTGTTCATATTGATGCGACTGGAAAATTAAGTGGTAAAAGTAATAAGAAGGAATATGTGTTTGTTCTAATTGATGCATTCACTAAATATGTTCTCTTGAATCATACAGTCAATATAGATTCCACCAATAGCATAAGGGTAGTTAAAGAAAGTGTTTCTTTATTCGGTGCTCCCACAAGAATAATTGCAGACCAAGGTCGTTGTTTTGCTAGTAAAGAGTTTCGTGATTTTTGTGAAAGTAAAAATATTGCATTACATCTAATCGCCACAGGAAGTGCTCGAGCAAATGGTCAGGTAGAGCGTGTTATGAGTACTTTAAAAGGTATGCTGACAGCAGTAGAAACAAGTAAAGATCGTTCTTGGCAAGATGCATTACCTGATGTTCAGTTGGCTTTAAACTGTACTATAAATCGAGTAACAAGGTCTAGTCCTTTAGAATTAATGATAGGAAAAATAGCGCGACCACTAGATTTAATGATGGCTGATGATGATAAAGACTTAGAAGTTAATATTGTTGAGACTAGAATACAGGCTGAGAAAAATATTATGAAAAGCGCTCGATATGAAAAACATAGATTTGACGCAAATAAAGCAAACATTTCCAAATTTAACTTGGGCGATTTTGTTTTATTGCAAAACGAAGAACGCAATCAAACTAAACTCGATCCAAAGTATAAAGGCCCATTTAAAGTTGTTGAATTATTAGAAGGCGATAGGTATGTCCTAAAAAGCCTTAATTCTAATCGCACATACAAATATGCGCACGACCGCCTGCGAAAAATGCCTGAAAACTATGTTTTTCATAATGATGACACTAATTAAGATGTATTTAAATAAAATTGTTTTTTTTTTGTTCTCATTATACTATTATTAATTTCTTATGTTTTATTGCGAATGATGCTTAGTTCTGTTTTATCGCTGGATAAGCGATAGTTTTTTATGTTTAATCGCTGGTTAAGCGACAACAGATTATTTCTTAATCGCTGGTTAAGCGACAACAATTTATTTCTTGATCGCTGGTTAAGCGATGACAATTTATTTTTTAATCGCTGGTTAAGCGATGACAATTTATTTCTTAATCGCTGGTTAAGCGATGATATTTATTTATTAATCGCTGGTTAAGCGATGGCAGATTATTTCTTAATCGCTAGTTAAGCGATGACAATTTATTTCTTAATCGCTGGTTAAGCGATGACAATTTATTTTTTAATCGCTGGTTAAGCGATGATATTTATTTCTTAATCGCTGGTTAAGCGATGACAAATTATTTTTTAATCGCTGGTTAAGCGATGATATTTATTTATTAATCGCTGGTTAAGCGATGGCAGATTATTTCTTAATCGCTGGTTAAGCGATGACAATTTATTTCTTAATCGCTGGTTAAGCGATGACAATTTATTTTTTAATCGCTGGTTAAGCGATGATATTTATTTCTTAATCGCTGGTTAAGCGATGATAATTTATTTTTTAATCGCTGGTTAAGCGATGATATTTATTTATTAATCGCTGGTTAAGCGATGACAGATTATTTCTTAATCGCTGGTTAAGCGATGACAATTTATTTCTTGATCGCTGGTCAAGCGATGACAATTTATTTCTTGATCGCTGGTCAAGCGATGACAATTTATTTCTTGATCGCTGGTCAAGCGATGACAATTTATTTCTTGATCGCTGGTTAAGCGATAACAATTTATTTTGATCGTTGGTTAAGTAATTGATCCTTTCGTTAATTGTGTAAATGTAATTGTTTTATGATTACAAACAAGCAAGTTAAATAATGTCAGAATGACCGAGCGATTTACTTCTATAGTTTTGTTTTGTAGCCGGGTCACACGAGGACGTGTGACTTGTCAGAATGGCCGTGTTAGGGAACTCGTTGAGTGACAAGTTGGTTGCCTAAACAAGCTTGGGTGGAATCAAGGGCGGTGCCAGGTATTTCGGAGAAGTACCGAATGCAAAATGATGAGCAAGCAATGATGGCTTTTGCATCGTAATAGAAAGAGGGACAGGCATTCAGTTTGAGATCCCTGACTTGGCACGACCAGTGGGATCACCTTCATTCTTCGAGTTTCCAAAATAGACATTAGTTTAGTGGTTAATAATTAGTTTATGTTAATAATTAGTTGAGTATAGTTAGTTTTGTATGTGTGTGTTAAAATAAACAATATAAACGTTATTAAATAAACATTGTGTGGTTACTATAAACAATTATTAAGTATGGCAGACCTTGGAGAACAAGGGGATGCAACCCCGACATATATATTATAATATATAAATATCATTATATATATATATTAGGGTGTGCCAAAAAAACTCGAAATAGTTTTTTTCTTGCTCTCCACCCAAAATATCGTAGAATATGTCCGAACAAATATTCTGTTAAAAGCGGAGCTCATAATTTCAATTTTAAGAGGTCCCTCATCGAATCTGAAGTTTTGCCCCTTAAATAGCACAGAAAACTGACCTTATTACATTATTTATTCTTGCAACCTAGGAAGAAATTTTTTTTTCATAAAATCCCTGACCAAATCTTACAAAGCATTAAACTTGGACGAAAAAATCTTATTAAGCCGAATTTCTATTTTCATTATTTGATTTTTTACAGAGCTTTAAATTTAAAATTTTACGTTTTTTGCCTTTTACAGCTAAACTATTGAAGTTAGACGAAAAAGTTAAATGGCAATTTTTTAGCTTGTCTGATGGACCACAAAAAAGTTTTAGGCGAATTTTTTATATCGTCAATATTCTAAAAGTTACAGGCGTATAAAGTCATCATTTTTGTATTATTAACTTAAATTTAAAGCTATCTAAAAAATTAAATAATGAAAATAGAAATTCGGCTTGATAAGATTTTTTTTCCAAATTTAATGCTTTGTAAGAATTAGTCATGGATTTTATGAAAAAAAATAATCTTCCTAGGTTGCAAGAATAAATAAGGTAAAAAAGTCAGTTTTCTGTGTTATTTAAGCGGCAAAACTTCAGATTCGATGAGGGACCTCTTAAAATTGAAATTATGAGCTCCGCTTTTAACAGAATATTTGTTCGGACATATTCTACGATATTTTGGGTGGAGAGCAAGAAAAAAAAATATCGAGTTTTTTTGGCACACCCTAATATATATATCATTATATCATTAAATACATTAAATTAAATATACATAATATGTATATTTTAATTTAATGTATTTAATGATATATTATATAGAGTAATTAAAAATTGCTCTTTAATTGTATTTGAATATATTGCATATAACAACTCGGTAAACATTATCTGTTTGTGATGCCTCTAAAATTAACGCAGGGGATGTTTAGGTCAAGGGACCTTCCACATTGTTATTATTTTTTTATACTTATTACTATAGTGTTATTATTTATAATGAATTACAATACACTAAGCGGATGCGTTTCCTGTATGATTTCATCCACTTGATGAAATTAGAACACATTTCAGTAATAAGAGCATAAATAGCAATCCTTTTCATTAAATGGGTGATTACATCAAGTGAGCACGACATATATATATATATATATATATATATATATGTCGTGCTTAAACGTATATACATATACATTTAAGAATAACTGAAAGGGTAAGAAGCAAAGGGTACAAGTGCAAAAAAGAGAAGTGACTTTATTAACTTTAAAAGTTTTTGCTATACACAAAAATCTGGATACTTGTTTCAATATTGTTGTTTACATTAATCAACATGCAGAACTCGCACAATTTCCACGCTATAAGAACATTTTTTAAAAATTTGGATTCCAAACTACCCAATTCTGCACTTAACTTATTTGCATGTTAAAATGCAGTTGTACCTTTTTGCTTATTATCCCCAACTATAAATATGAAGTTTTAATTTAAAAAAATAATTATACCATCTTACTTTTTAAATCTAGTTTAAAAGTAGGTATTGTGTTTCATATAAAGCCTTTGTTAACGATTTTGCTTTATACAGTATTCATTGTACTAAATCCTTTGTTTAAAAAAGCAGAATTAAAAAAAAAATGATAAACGAACTATATCACATTGTAATCTAAAAAGCATATCCTTTTAGGCTATTTTCAGCTGAAAGCAGTTACTTTTCCGAGAAGTTAAAATGTATAATTTACTATTTTAAAAGGGTAACGAATAAAAGTACGTAAGTAATATTATATTATACCTACATGAGGTGCTTTAATTTTGAATTTTTAGATCCCACAGGCGTTATTACTTTTGAAAGAAAACATATTTCAAGAACAAATATGCCGAGGTGGGATAACCTGGAAAATAATTTGGGCAACACAAAAATTCATGTGAACAGTTCGGGAACCATTGAAGATGATGGTTTGGGTTTTTTACAAGTTGATTTTGCCAATAAGTAAGTCAATTGATTTATGGCTGATAAAAATATAATTAATTAATTGTTTTAGATATATTGGTGGTGGTGTTCTTGGGTATGGCTGTGTTCAGGAAGAAATACGATTTTTAATATGCCCTGAACTAATAGTTAGTAGGTTATTTATAGAGCAAATAGGCGATAGTGAGGCTGTCATTATTACCGGTAATTTTTTACATTTATGAATTATAAGAATCAGGTTGGTATTTTTTCTGAAAATTGTATTTTTAAGAACCAACCGTTATTTTAAGAGTGCTTTGAAAATAATGTATTGTTATTGTATAGGGGTTATGAATAATAGCATCTAAACTTTGAATAATAATAAGTGAATAAAACAACTTTCAAACGGTTTGAGAAAAACACAGTTAAGTTTTTAAGAGCATATTCTATGCAATTTATGATTTAAAGGTACCAGGTCTGATCCGTTCGGATTATACATTTTAACCCTTGATCTGACACCAATCGATACTTTAAATTTGCCCGAGCGTTTTTTATATTTATAAACTGTCAGTGCCTGAGGACAAACCCGCGCGCGCGGTAAGCCACCACTTACATATGGACAGAGCTGGCCAAGTACTGAGTACTTTTACTCGTATTTCAATTACGACTAAAAAAGTACGAGTACTTTTTTACTCTAAGTATTTTTCATTTGAAATACTTATTACTCGTACTTACAAACCAAATTCACGAGTAATATATTCGAGTATTTTCGTTTATTATATGGATGACTTTTTGCCAAAATAGTAAGCATCAAAACATTTTGTTAGGAAGTCTGTTTTAAATTATATAATATATAGTAGAATATAATATATTAGAGCCTATAATAGGTTAAATAACAAGTAAAGAGGTAAAATTATAAACTATAGTTTATAATTTATAATAATAATAATAATAATAATAACAATTCTTAAATATATTTAAGAATTGTTATTATTTTATGTACATTATGTTTAAAATAAATAATTTTATAAATTTGTATTTGTATTTTTATAGCTTAGGACCAAAGTATGTATAATGTACACTCCAAAAATGAATTAGTCAAAAATAACTAATTACCACAGTTATTGGTGGAAATTAGTGAAAATACCGCCAAAAATTATGAAAGCTTTCACTAGTGGAGCAGTTTTTGAGATAAAGTCAATTCCATATTATATGGAAAATGGACCATATCTTAAAAACTGTTCTACTTTTTTAACTTTTGATGACATTTTTGGATTCAGGGAACAATTTTACGAGGAAATTGACTGCTAAATATTAAAAATACAAATAATAATAGTTTTATTGCCATAAGATCATTACAATGATATTGTCAACTTTAAGAGGTTACACTAAATGAATAATATACCTACATATATAATAGTAAAATTAAGATTAAAATACAAATTGCTATTGACGAGAATTATTAGTGGCTGCGTTTTCGCTATGACAATTAGTCATTTTTGACTAATTCATTTTTAGAGAGTAAAGAATAATCAATTATATTAACTAACTTTTACTCTTTACTCGTGTTTTCACGATTACTACTCGTAACCGTAACCTCTCTTTACAAATGTACTTACAAGTAAAATACTTACGAGTAACTATTTTAAGTACTCGTACTTAAAATTTTACGAATACTTTTTTAGTACTCGTGCCCAGCTCTGCATATGGAAAGTTGGCTTAGAAATATCTAAAGTCAGGATTGTTTCTGTAAACTTGTGATTTGCAAAGTAAAATTTGCAAAGCCACTTCATGAAATTATTAAATTTCCAAACTTTCTGTCCAAGTTCATAGTAATGTCTGCTATGTGGCGATTTTGGTAAAAAATAAATGTTACCCAGTCCAATATCATCAAATTTTGTGAAAAATAATCGACCGATAACGGTCTCTATAACGGAAACGCTTCTTCCTTTTTCATTAAATTAATAAGGACCGATAATGCCTCCGTGCCTCGTCATAGATACATAATAATGCTTTTCTAAGGCCCTTGTGTATTTTTTGTAGATTATATTCATACAATAACAGATTTTTCTTATTAACAAAATCTTTTTTCTTAATTTTTATTGCTAACATGCAGCCAATAATTGTGTTGAATTAGGTTTGTCAAATTCGGATTCTTTATAGGTAAACTATACCAGGTATAAAAAAAAAATTTCTTTAGGGGCAGAAAGATTCAGTAACTACACAGGGTACGCAGACAGCTTTAAATGGTCTGGACACCACCAGGACCTTACACCACATGACGATTATGGCCGCTTAAAGACCACCATAAGTGTGATTGATGCTACTCATTTTTCCAGACCAAAAGATCAATACTATCCATCAGCAATTTTAAGAGAGGTCAATAAGGCTTATGTAGGTTTTAGTTCGAGAGAAAGGGACAACCTGGCTCCTGTTGCGACTGGAAACTGGGGATGCGGTGCATTTAGGTATTATACAACTTTTGTTTAGAAAATATTACACATTAATGGAATTGTTTTTTAGGGGCGATCCAAATCTGAAATCATTAATTCAACTCATGGCTTCGTGTGCTGCAGGTAGAGATTTAATATATTATTCATTCGGCAATATAAATTTAAAAGATGATTTCTACAATATGTATTTATTTTTGGCGAATAATAGAATTTCCATAAGTAAGTAACAATTATAATAAAATAAACAAAAAATAATATAATTTATTTTTAGAATTACTTTGGAATTTTCTTAAATCATTTTCCTCCTCGTCAGTATCCCATGAAAATCTGTACTCTTACATTCAACAATCGTTTTTCGATAGTAAACATCAACCATCGATAAAAAATTATTTTAGCAGAAAACTTTTGCCCGAAATACCCTCAACATCTTCAACGTCCACTTCGTCACCACAAGCAGAAAAAAAGCACAAGCTTGTTCCAGAATGCAAAGATACTTGTATAGAAATTGAACCTAATTTGATGGACTTGGATAGTATAGAAGATGATATTATACCTGATACACCACCGCATGTATCCGAAATGAGATTTCAAAAAATTTCAAAAAGTTTAATTCCCGCATCTAAAGAGGAAATTTCAAAAAAAATGCCCAATAATCACGACGAGATTGTTGGTCTTTTAGGATTTGATGGAAATGCTAATAAGTCCAAAGAAAAATCAGATGATAATACTTTGCTATCGGAGCTCGATAAATTACGGAAGAATAGTAAATCGAACATCTTGGAAAAAGTGGAAAAAAGCAAAGAAATTAGTCAAAATGAATCATTTGAGATATCTGGTGTTGAAAAGTCGCAGAAAAGGAAAATTACCGATTATTTTACCAAACATGAAAAATCTTAATGAAACGTTTTTAGTACTAGACAAAATATAATTTAGGTACCTACTTAAAATTTGATCTATAATATATATTTTAATAAAGTCAATGCCAATAATTTTTCCTTGTTATATTATTTTGTATGTCCCAAGTTTCAGTTATTGGTTATAAGTATTTTTTTAAACTTAATTTTAATAATTAGTGGATTGAAACCTAATTAAGTTTAAGGCCTGTTTGCATTTAATGTTTTTATTATCCTAGATGAGCACCCAGCATCTCTGCATTGCAGTTGCTAATACATTTGGTTTTATAAAATATATATTCCATATCACATCTGAAAATTTTACCATAAGTGAAGAAAAAAGTTTTTTATGTGTAAAAAATAATTTTCGTTTTTCCGATTCAGTTCTGGGCTACCTAGGGACTAAATCTTTATTTAATTTTGAATATCTAATAGTTATTTATGTATTAAGGGCATAATAAGGTTTTTATGGTCCGAGGCGCTATTTCGAGCCCGAGCGCGTTAGCGCGAGGGCTAGAAAAGCGTCGTAGGACCATAAAAACCAGTTATGCCAGCAATGCATACAAAACTTTATGCACGATTAATATATTATTATTTTTAATATATTATTGTTTTTAAAGACGTTTACGTCAAAGAATTTTTGTTATAATTGTCATATTATAATGTCAACTGACATCAGTCAGTTTTAAAGTTTAAAGATAAATGAAATTGAGGAAGCAGCTGAAAAGGCGAAAAATTGCGGCCTGCTGCCGGTAAAATCAAAATCTTTATACGAAAAAACTTACTTCGAATATATCAAATGGTGTAACATTGTTGTTTTTAATTTTTGACGTTTCATTATAGCCCGCTGGGCCATAATAAAGCCCGCGGGCTATAAAAAGACGTTTACGTCAAAGAATTTTTGTTATAATTGTCATATTATAATGTCATCGTGCATAAATAACTTTGATAGCATTATGAGTTGGCTGGAATTTAAATGATCATCCTAGTGAGGTCACAAATTCAGATTTTCAACATTATCCCGATACAATAAGCGCAAAAATTTTAATAAATATTTGTAAGTCCAACGTACGTTCGCGGGGTCATTGACTACATGACGTCACGTTACAAATAGTCTTTTCGAAAGATCGTGTAACAATTGGCAAATAAAATCAATTAACCAGAAATATATTATATATTTTCCACTAGGTATACATATTTTAAAATTAAAGATCGCATACGAATTAACGGCAACGCGTCGCTAAGAGAAATTTCTTATTGATAATATTTTTTCCTTATTGATAACGACTGATAAGGAAAAAATCAGAACACAACGTCCACATAACGTTGAACGTTGGTCTCGCTGATTTTAAAGTGGAAAACCAAGTTTAGGCCCAGTATATGGAATTCCATATACTGTGCTTTAGGTACAAAATAGTATATTACATTACAAGGGCCGAAAGTTGAATTTTCGGTCCTGCGCAGGACCGAGATTTCAACGTTTGGCCCGTGTGGTGTATACTATTTTTCTTCATACATCGGACGTACTTTCGTCCCTAATAGCACAGGGGGTAAATGTTAAACTTTCGTCCCTGCTATTAGGGTAAGTTATTACTTTTGAACAAGGTATGAAGAAAAATGATTTTATTTATAATTTTTACTGAAAAATAGATATTTTTGGTTAATTGAGTTATTTAAAATTTGGCTAATTTTTTTTCCAGCCGTGACTAATTAGGGGAGCAAGTGTCACAGTAGCATAAATTTAAAAACTGGTAGGAAAAATTCGCACAGTAGCATAAATTTAAAAAATGGTGGAAAAAATTTGCACAGTGGCCTAAATTTACAAAATGGTAGACGTATTTGAACAGTAGCATACATTTAAAAAATGATAAAACAAATTCAAAACTTAAAAATAATGAAAAAACACAATAGCATAATTTTTTTAAATGGTAGGAGTTCTACCGTAGGACAAATTTGTAAGTAGCTTACATTAAACAAATGTTAGGGCAAATTGGCATAAATTTACAAACATTTTAGGTCGTGTCATAGACTTAATTAATTTTCTTATCACATCCCCTAATCCTTAGGGCCTAAGGCCTCGAACCGGGTGTCCACGGCAACGGAGCCGCCGCATTTAGCTGTTATAAAAAGGGTATTTAGGTGTTGGATATGGGGTAGCAGACTAATAAGTATCTAAACAGAGTAGGAGTACCCCCTCCAGATATATTGCCAACAATAATAAAATATATATGTACATTTTATCAATAATTTTAACCTTCAGATGGGATGATTCTGGACAGGGTTCTAGCGATTTACCTAGACATTTAGAAATCATTCGGCAAACGACCGACGCGTCGCGACGATGTGAAATGTAGGTAACGCGCGCATTCCGAGAGTTTGGAACGTGCAGACCAAATCAAGTGGGATAGATTCCGCCGCGTTGTTGTCAATTCTTCATAGTTTAATGTTTGTGTTCAACTAAGGTGCAGTGTCAACTGTCAATTTAGCCAAATGGGCGTATTTACAGCAAAATGAAATCTTCTCTAACATTAAAAAATCACTGAGTAAGTGTTAGAAAACGTCTCTGGCCTCCTTGTTATACCACATAAGCTGTGTTGGTTGTTTCTTTTAAATTAATCGATTTTGACATCCATGTTTAATACTATCAAATTCTACTACCTACTGCCTTTTAAGGGTATAAATCTACTTCCCCTAAATTTTACTATTATCTATGCTTTCTTATCTTCTATAAATTGTTATGTCTAAAATTCATGGTTTATAGGTCATAATGTCAATATTATGTTTACAAATTTAACTTTTTCATAAACATTCTATTTGTCACCCAATCAATTGTTTGCACGCCAAAGACCTCATTTAGCAAATTTCATCTTAAAAATATAGTTAATTTTCAAGATCAATGAATGTAAATGTTAAATACCAAATCTAATTAAACAGAAATTGCAACCCTTTTTGTCAAGATTAATTACCTGAAACTCAGTTTTAATGTAGTTATTGTGTAGGTAGGTAATAACAGGTAGTTTTTTTAATTTCATTTGTAGGTACACTTTTAAAGATAATAAAGTTATAGGTATTTAAATCCACATATCTATATTTTATTTATATACAATGTGTATGAGTTAAATGGAATAAATTCGATAATACGTGAAAACGCTAGGACACGTCAATTCGTATTTTTAGTTGCGCATTTTTTTCAACAAAAACTTTTACAGGGTGTGTTATGTAGCAGTGACCATGGTCATGCATTTGAAATAAGCAAATTGGCATTGCAATACCAATTTTCTTATTTCAAATGCAATACCCTGTATATTATTCAATTTTTGGATTCTTCTAAAAATTGTAGACTTATTTTATGTAGGTACAATATCCTATACTTACCTATAGATATATCTTGAACCGAATATTTCCAAATCGGTCGATAGGGAGACAAGGATCGATATAATGGCCAGCACGATCCCCTGATCTGACGTCATTATACTTCTTCCTTTGGGGGTATGTCAACAGTTTTGTATACAAAACCAAACCCCTCGACTTAGTTGACTTAAGAAGACGATTAACGCTGTCGATTAGATCGGTAACGCCTCAGATGTTGAGTAACATTAAAGTATTTTCTATTTAAGATTAGGATGTTGCCAAGTCGTTCACGGCGAGCATATTGAACATCTCCTACATTGTCATTATTTTTTTTTTGTTTATTACATTATCAAGATAGGTATAACAGTATTACTATTAGTTTTTTAGTGTGTTATAGCGAATTTCTGTGAAGATATAATTATCGTTCTTTAATGTTAATTTTTTAATATTTCCGAAACAGTTGAAGATTAAATAATATACAGGGTATTTGAAATAAGAAAGTTCGTATTGGCAACTACTACATGACACACCCTGTACAAAAAGTCAGTGACAAATTATCATTTTGTAGCCGCAAAAGCGCATGTTCCATTGTTTATATCTCTATAATTCCAATTTATCAATGCATGGTCATATGAAATTTGATTATGAAAAAATACCGAAATATTTACCATAATAATTTGATTACATGATATATATGGATTTAATCAAATTTCAGGTGTTAAAATAAAACAAAATATGAACGAATTCGTGTTTGTTGACTGTGCTGATTATAATCAGTAACAATATATTAAATATACCTAGATAACAATTGTATTCCTGTTTGGGTTTCAGTAAATAGTAGTATCCCTGTTAAAAATCACCCATAAAGACCAATAGAAAAGCTATTGGGATTTTCCAGTGGCAGCTCTATTGGTTTGAATTGGTCTCAATAGTGGTATCTGTACCATGAATTACCAATTCAAACCAATAGCGACACCGCTGGAAAATACAGACCGATAGAGACTAATCGTATTTTATTGGTAATTCCCAATAGATATATTATAGATATATTTTATTGGTAATTCCCAATAGAGCTATTTGGATTTTCCAGAGGTACCGCTATTGGTTTGAATTGGTCCCCACCAGTGGCGGCTCGTGGCAGTAAAATTTGTGAGTTCTGCATGTGGGGTTTAAAAAAATGTGGCGTAGTGGGCATTTAATTAAATGGTACCTACAGTTAATTAATTAAATCATAATTAAATCATACACCACATTCATTTTTACAAAAGAATACAACAACAAACACAAAAATACACCGAATTAACAGTCTTCTAGTTAAAATAACAAACGTGAACGCGAAGCGAAAAACAAACGACCGGGAAGTAGGAACTGTGTGTTGGTGCAGCTCCGGTTTGGCTTAAATTTCACTATCTTAACCTAGGACCAAGAGCGGCGCGGAGCAAAATTACGGTATTGAAATGGGAGCCAGAACTCGAAAGTGGCCCAGCTTTGTTGTATTGTAAGCGTTAAGCGTTAGAGACCTTTACCGGTCGTTTGGATGACTGTAGTGGCCAAGTACGGCGAATGTTTATAATAAAAACTTTTTATGCAGCCATGCGTTTGAAATATTCATACACTGTCGCACTTAAATATTAAATAATTAAAAAATTAGTCAAGTAATAAGAAAATTTTGGGAGTTCTGCAGCTCTGCAGCCCTTATGCACTAGCCGCCCCTGGTCCCCACTATCCATTTTAGACGTCTTTAAGGTAAAAAATTACGTGTTTTGATGGTTAAATAATTTCTCAAAAATAGTGCTGTTTAACATTTAATTTAAATTTTATAAATAGGTTCTGCTAAAAGTAAGTAGTGGGGCCCACTGCTTACTTTTCGCAGAGTGGGCCACAGGACGACCTGTGCCCCTTTAAAAATTCCAAAACGCCAGGCGTTTCCATGGCCAGTAATTTTGCCTTAGTAAGGAATCCTTACTTACTTATTGTGCTACAGAGGCGAGAGGTATGCATGGGTTGCCTACCTATTGGCGAATTGTGAAAATAAATATTAAAGTGGTATATACGAATAGGGTTCCTTGTACCTACACACCGATAAAATACCAATTCAGACCATTAGTTTATCTATTGGTATTTTCCAGTAAGAAAATTGCCAATAGAAACAAGTGGTCATTTGTATTAAATTGCGCAGGCGCTGAACATTTAAGTGGTATTTACCAATTGAATTTCAATTGGGAATTTCCTGTACTTGTAACTTCTTATAAAAACCAATTCAGACCATTAGGTAATCTATTGGCATTTTCCAGTACGGAAATTACCAATAGAAACCAATGCTCATTCTGTTGAGAAACCAATAGGCCCAATAAAGACCAACTCATTCCATTCTGATTTTTTATTGGTTTCTATTGGTCTCTATGGGTGATTTTTAACAGGGATACTACGGGATATTCCGCTCGAGTAAAAAGTTATAACACTATAGTGACACGAGCTGAAGGCGAGTTTGACGGTTTCACGAGAGCGGAATATGCAATCCTAAATGTGTTTTAGACTATACTTTTTCTACGATTTCAAAAAATACCTTAGAAAAATAATTTAATTGGGAGCAAGTGAGGTTGGATCGGTCTAAAAGTCGTTAAAAAACCCGTTTGGACCAATAAAAAAATTCAACTAATATATTTATCCATCGGAGGAAGAATCAGATTCTGCTGGTTCCTTGGCGTACATTATTTGGCTGTTCATTTTCTTCGTTAGTTCTGGATTAATTTTAAAATTATGGCATTTGCAAGTATTGGAAACAAGGCTTTTTTTGTAAGAAGTATTCCTTCTAAAGTATTCAACCGATTTCGAGCTTCGCATGCTTTATACCTAGAAAATGGTTAAATTTAACTTTTTCTGGTCAGGAAATATTACCGGTCCAATAATTTATAAAAAAACAATACGTTTAAGTGTATAGGTATCTCCACAACGGCTACATAAGCGATTTTAATTTTTCCTGCAAAGTAACGCTAATAATATTACTATTTAAAAAAAATTTTTGGAAGATTATATATTTTTAAGTTGAAAACGCCAAATGTACCAACGTGGCTAATCCACCGACTCTAGCAACTAAATATACGTCTATAGTCTTTTTATTCCTGTTATACAGCATGATTCACATTTTAAACCACCAAACATTTACATCCAATATTTAATTATAATTTATTTAACTCAATCCAAAACCTAGTAATTATTTCACAAAACTTCATAAACATCATAACACTTAACACTGACTAAAGTGTAACAATTGAGTAACGGTGTAACACTTTACACTAACAATATGTTATGGAGTTCAAATGTTCCTTAAAACAAATGTACAGAGATTTGTCGTCACAAGGCGTAGTGTGATTTGGAGAAATAGGTTAATTGTTTATATTGTCATAGTATTTAGGCTGTCAAAAATTGTGTTAATATATTTTTCGTGCGTGCACTATAAAATAAGTTCACTTTAAAGTAAAATATGGAGGAACTAAGAAGTAATTTTGATTTATTCACACAATTAAGATCGCGGTTGTTAGTTTAAGCGACTTTAAAATTTTACTGAGTATAACGGTAAAAAAAACTTAATTTGGATAATTTAAGTGAAACGGATAGGCCATAAGTTTGTATTTTATCATATCTTTAAACTCAAAAACCTTTTCTTAATTAAATTCTTCTGAATATTTTTAAATTACGGTACTCTGCTTGTGAATGATTTTAATATTTTTTGCGTACTCTTTGAAAGAATTTCGTTTTAGATATTGTTACCAATAAACATTTCCTATATATATCACATATACCATACTGTATTAAAACGCCTTGTGTATTAAGTAACTAGGCTTAATATTTCCTTTTGTAAACATCAAACGTTATTTAATGGATCAGTGTTTGGATTTGGATTGGATTGGATTTGTTGGGTGGAGGGTAGCCACATTGTGGCTACATGCACTTAGGCCACAGTTGGCCCTTTGTACTGCCCCCGAGATCCATTTCCCCATTTGTGTTTGCTCAAATTTTTAATCCAGCCATCCGAGTTTCCGAAAGAAATCTAGAAAGACGGCTGGAGAGATGGAGCTAATGTTGGTTGCATCAACCCATTCTTCTCCTAAAGTGGATTTTCTGAATTCGAGAAGAGCAGGACATTCACAAATAATGTGTATTACATTCTCTTCGCCCCAGTTACAGGCTC